ATCGGCAAATAAACATAACAATTATTTTGCATTGTTTACTTTGCCAATTCCACAATGCATTCACAAACATAATACTACTTAAGCAAAGAGCGCATCTCATTTTCACATAATCTGCATTTAAATTTTTGCAACATTATTTTGAAATGGTTGATTATGCATATTTTTGAATATGTTCGATTTATTCATTTAAATCAGCCAGTGAAGCACACAATTCTGTTTTCGTATCTAAAATGCCAATTTGAGGCAATTCATCCAACCGATATAGGGGAAAAACAAGCGAATACATTTTGCAATTCAAGTAAATAATCAACAGTAAACATTTTGCCATTCAGCGCAAATCGCACGTAATTAATCATTTAGAAGTGGTCGCAAAAAAAAAGAAAAAAGAAAAAACTAAGAGCACACTAGGGAGTGCGATTTGCAGAGTGCGCCTTTGTTTCAAGTTTTGGGCTTAACAAATTGCAATAAATAACAAATATGGCGCATGAATAAAAGAGCCCTGGTATGTTGTGTCGGTCGCACTTGCAACGCATTTTGGTTCAACAATAGCGAGATCCCGTGGCGCTATTGTGATTTCATCGGAATGCCATGCCTGGTGGCTGGCTCGCAGCCACAGGCATAGCCATAGCCATGGCAACAGCAACAGCAACAGCATCTGAAATCCTTTCACGTTAACAGCCAACTGTGTATATTCACACGCATTTGCGCTTGGCCTTACCCAGGCGGGTGCCTGGCCCTACACATGGACATGACTTTGAAGCACGAAATAGCAAAGAATATGAGACTTAGCTCTGGCTTTTCCACCACGTCCTGACAAATGCAAATCTTGTGGACGTATTGTTTGCATCAATACAAATAGCATGCTCGTCCTCGACGCACTGCCCATACAACAGGCACCTTCGCACTTTTGTCTGGGCCGCAAACGGCTGGAGCCGATAACACGACAAAGGGCAAGTTCTATGGGCGAGACCTGTTGTGACCTGCCAAGCCCAATTCCAAGCCCAAGCCCAAGTCCAATCGCAACTAAACGAAGCGTGAACAGGCAGAAGGCACGGAGAAGAGAAATTGACGAGAATGCGGAAAATTGGGACCGGCAAGGGTTAAAAAGGAAATGAACAAAAATGCAAATATTGAACGAGTCAATCAAATATGCAACAGACATTTTTTGTATCAGCTGCGGCAAGAAGTATTCAGCATAATAAACAGCAACAGCAACAACACAAGCAACAGCTTCCAGCCCTCAATGTACTTGTATTGCTTCCCTGTTTATTGTTTTAGTGGTGGCCCCAGGGACTGTCATCTGAGAAGCATAAACAATCCAAGGGGAGTTCAGAAAATCCTAATATTAAATATTCAAACAGTTAAAGCTACTTATTTTAAATATCTTTGTGTAACATACATATAGTTGGTTTATAATAATTATTTGTGCATAGTTAACAATATAAATGATTTAATCGCCGCCTTCTAAAACTTAATTCAGATTAATATACAACACTCCTACGTCACTTACAGAAATACGTCCATTCTACTTTATTCAAAAAAAAGAGCAATAACTGGGGCCTGGACATAACTGTTCTAAGAGAAACTTATTAAAATATTAAGATTTAAATTAAGTTAATATGAAAAAACTTTTATTTAGTAATTCGATTTCCGATTTAATTAAATCATTCAAAATGTGACTTATTAAAATGTCAACTTATTATATATTTTTAGAACAATTTAAAACAATCCTGAAAGAATTTAAATTTATTCACTTTTTCTAAAAACATTATGAATTTACAAGTAAGACTACAGTTAAGACAGTTGAAGTGGGAAAAATTATTTTTAAAAAACCATAAAGTTGAATGATTTCAAAAACAATTCTGAAACAAATAATAAATAATTAAGAATTAATAGCAGTAGCCTTGGAACATTTAAAAAAAAATCGGTTATTTCATTATGATGATACTTAAATATATGTACATATTAGACATCTGCAAGAATGGCAAAAAAAAAACTACATTCAAATGCACAATGCTCAAGTGAGTGAGTTGAATGAATTTGAATGCAAAGCCAAACTGGTGTGAATAAATGAGTGCAACCACGCACGACTCAATCGCACAAGAACGAAACGTAGAAAAACGATTTGAATGGAGTGAGGATACGAAAGAGTGCGACGTACTTTTTGAATGATTCGAATGGCAAATTATTAAAATAATAACTACAGAAACAAAACAATATCAACAAAATTCGCATTTAAAATACATGTAGAATTTACGGCTTCTTTTACCCTTATTTGCTTCGTAATGATGCGCCTACATGATTTCGTCGAACAGCAAGCACCAAATGAGAGTAACTCGAATGTTTTTCGGTAAGTCAATTGTTTCATTCCGTTTTACGCTTCATTTATTCTCACTCATTTCACTGAATGTCGAATTATATATTTATGTACTTGTGTGTATGTATATGCTATGAGACACAATTTCATACAATTTCATTTCATTTTCTGCTTTCCACTAACTAAACCACTCAACTCAATTCAGTTCGATTCCATTCTTTTCAACGTAGCTTATGCAGCTGTCTAATACATACTATACGTAGTTATCGTATAATTAATCTTCAAAAGAAAAGGGTCGTAGACTTTCTATACTATATTTATAATGAATTAAATATTACTTTGTCAAACAGTAAGGGGTTAGGGCGGCAAGGTACAAATCCACCACAGCCGAAGCCGCCTCCCACGCGATCGCTTAAGCTTCGATCGCAGCCTCCTCTGCGCTCTAGTTTTAGTAATAAAACGTACTCGGGACGCTTCACACCGCACCGTGTCAGTGCTCCCATGTTGATGCATACGTGTACTTGTATATACAAATTGTTCACACAAATCTTCATATACACAAACATTCGTCAAAATAAACCACACAAAATCTCAAGTATCAAGCTAATTCATAATTTGGGAAGGAACACACAGCTACTACCCAGCGAACACCCCACTCCAACATTAGATACGCAAATTACATTAAAGAAAGCTTGCTACACTAACTAGACGGCATGATTGTTTCGAAATGTAGAAATGTGGAAACTAATGTGCGGATTGCGACAAATTTATGTGCCAGCACATATGTACACGTATGTATGTATAGTATATGTACATAGTATACATCAGACACATATGCACGATTACATGCGTACACATCAATGCGCTTTACACACGATGTAATTTCAATAAAAATTTTCACAATGGTTTACAAGTAATGCACTTGTGAGCATGCATGTGCGTTGGCGCGTGTCTGGGTGCCAGTGGGGTTGCTTTGAGTTAAATGTCCTTCGCTTGTGGAGGAACACACCCGGACACACATGTGTACGTATATTTGGCTCCAGCGCTTACAGACTCAACCAATGTTTGCACTTGTGCACACAACTTGTGAGTAAGCCACAAATATTTTTATACCCTGCACCCGAAGGTGAAAGGGTCTACAAAAAAGCTTAAATATTGACACCCACAGAGGGAGGATATGTAGTTATAAGTTCTTAAGCTGAAGTTCTATAAGCATCGGTGCACTACATCATGGTTAAGTAGTTTGGGAAAAGGTAGAGCATTTCTTGATTGGTCAAATGCTCTGCCCTCAGCTGTTTTGCTGCTCTAACTCAACTCTGTACTACACACAGACACGCATAGAGACAGGTGTGTCCCTCAGAATCCCTCAACTTAAATAAACTTCCTTTTCCCAAACTATTTAAGCCATATGATATAGTGCACCTATGTTTATAGAACTTCAGCTTAAGAACTTAACACGAATTGAACATTTTAGGAAATACAAAACAAAGCGGGCGTGTGGAGGGGCTTTGTTTTAATTGGAGTAGATTATCCCCAGAAAGTTTCTTCATTATACTTATCAAATACGTCCAATTACTTTTAAATAATTTCAATAAACTTTCTCTCAGTGTCTATAATAGACTTTGATTTTAATAGCCCATAATATAAAAATTCTGAATTTTATTTTTCCCAGCAAAACTATCAAAAAAACAATTTATGAGTCAACCCAAAACCATACAAAACCACTGACTGATAAGTGCAATCTTAACTTCAGGTGATATTTAAATCGGTCTGTAGAAAGTAAGTCTGGCACTGTTATGGCCTATAAAATAAAAATCGTACCATTTGTTTGCTTTCTGTCTCGACTATGCATTGTCTAAGATAAGCAATTTTGCAGCTAAAAGAGGGAAATGATTTTCGAATTTTAATCAGTCCGAGCCCACATCGTTATACTACTTGTAATAGTATAAAGTTTATACTATAAACTAATGCGAAAAATTTGAGTCCATATTTGAATATGGAAATCATAATTCTGTAAAATATTCAAATTGTAACTCACCATATTTTGAGGCGATATTTGAAGATCTATCAATAAATGAATGTAATACTTTTATAATTGATTTGAATTTGTGTTATCTGTTCATGCCAAAAGAGTATTTGAAACTCAAAATTTTAGCAAACCAAATTTGCAATGCCTTTAGAATGGCATTTAAGGAATAACCCAAACGGTCTAATGAATTTCATTATCAAAGTTATGGGTGTTAAGTAATCTACACGCACTTGTGAGAACAAATAACGGTTATCAGAACTGGAAAGAGAGAAAGAGAGAGAGAGAGAGAGCCATAAAGTGATAAAAATAGTTTGTGCTAGCAGTATCAACACATATTAAATACCCTACACTAAAGTCTTAAGCAATTTAATCAGTATTCATAATTATAGAAAAACGTTAAGTTGAGAATTAAGTATATAGGAGTATTTAATTTGAAACATAAGTATCGCGTATTTAATCGCTAAATACTATAATGTCTAACGTACCTCATGGTGGATGTTACATACACTTGCATGATTTTACAAATACCCTTGTAACTGTAGTACAATTTTTAAATTGAGAGCGAGTAACGAATTCAACGGCTAGACAGCAAAAACTATACGTTTGTTTGGATTGGCGTTAGTCGTCAATGAATCTCAACCCAGATACCTTGATCCAGCATGGACTTTGAAAAAATATTGTTCAAGTGCGGCGATGCAAGTCGCTATCAGATCCTAATGCTAGGCTTGTTCGGCTACATTGGCTTCACTAGCACTATCCATTATTACTCGCAAAATATCATTAGTTTTGTGCCTGGGCATTGGTGCTACCACAAGCAACTAGAAGACAAGACCTTTGAGGAAATCGCTTCCATTTATGCACAATTTGGCAGTAAAGCTTCGTGCTCCCGTGTGGAAACAGTCGATGGCCATAACTTCACACTCAGCAGCGATCGCTGCGAACGCTGGATTTATAATTATGATTACGGATTCAAGAGCATTACCACTGAGGTGAGATACTATCTGTGTACTGCAGTAAAGATATTTAATTAACTTTTTTTAATGACAGATGAATTGGGTTTGTGACGATGCGTACAAGGTCCGCATTGGTCAATCTTTCTTTTTTATCGGCTCACTTCTTGGAACTTGGATATTTGGACAGATGGGAGATCGATTTGGACGTCTTCCAATCTTGATATTGGCCAACATGTTCGGATTTGTGGGTGACTTGAGCACCAGCTTTGCCAAGGATGTATTGCAGTTTGCCATTTGCCGATTTATTTCTGGCTCTTCCGCTACCGCAAATTTCTATCTGATGTTCACATTAGGTAAGACGATATATTCTCCCCTATAGTTTATTATTTATTTTATGCTAATACCTTAGTGCTCGAATATGTGGCGCCACGATTGAGAAATATGCATTTCAGCTGCACCATGGCAATCAGTACCTTCTTAGGTGCCTTAGCCGCATCTTGGCTGGCCGTGTGGGCTGGAAATTGGCGCAGCTATCTGGCCTGCACATCATTGGCTTTGCTAGCCATAATACTTTTTTACTTTGTGGTGCAGGAGAGCGCACAGTGGCTTATAACTCGCAATGATATTGAAGGCGCCACTAAACGACTGAAGCACATCGCAAACTTTAATCGAAGGCAATTGCCTGTCGAGGATTGGGATGAATTTCGCAGCCATTGCATCGAGAAGCGAAAGGAAATGGAGCTTCGGAAGGACCAAAATGTTAAACTATTAGATACCTTACGTATGCCGCGTCTGCGCAGAACAATCCTCGCTGCCATATTTACCTTGTAAGTAGACAATGCTCCCGAAACTCCGTCACTAAGCCAGTAAAGTGGTCAGTACTAAATACTCTGTTCTTGCAGCATGATGAACTCTTTGGCTTTCAATACCATCTCCCGCAATGTAGAGGGCCTGGGCATGTCACCATTTATAGTCTTCTCCCTCTTTGCTCTCACCATACCGCCATCAGGCTTAATACAGGGATTGATGCTTAACCGATTTGGTCGCAAGGGCACAGCATTTCTGGCCATGATGAGCACAGGCTTGCTAGCCTTAACAGTGGGAATTATCCAGTGCTTTGATGTGAAGGGAATCGCAATGCTATTAGCTCTTGCACTTCCTATGCGCCTTGGCGCTTCCATGTGTTATTCGACTGCATCGCAGTATTTGTCAGAGGTTATGCCAACCTGTGTCCGCTCAAGAGGCATAGCCACCGCCCATGTGGCTGGAGCAGCAGCATCGTCCCTCTCCCCATATTTAATACATCTTGGATTGAAACTAAGAGCAGGTCCTTCCCTTGTACTCGTCGTAGTTTTGATGTCCGCCGCAGCAGCCACACTAATGTTACCAGAGACAAATAAAAGGTCTAACCAAATGACAAACAATACATTTTCAGAAGCTTTAATATATCTCATTGCTCCACAGGCAGCTGCCCATAACGCTGGAAGATGGGGAGCTGTTTGGTAAAGACGAATCCATCTTCACTTTTCAATGCATCAAGCGTAAAAATAGTGATGTACAACCACATTTGGAGGAGCTGGAAACGTTCCAGACTAAATCTGATGCAGCATAACTGCACACCTTTCACAAATTTGTCTGTGACATGCATTTATGAAGATTTGGAACAATTCAGGAATAGGATTTCAGTCGTAATCGTCAGTTTCGATTGATAGTTCCAACATACGATTTTAACCAAGTCACCAAGCTCCTGAAGAGTGCAGAGCTCTACAAATGTTCACACAACCTTTGTGTGACGTTTCAAAAATTTATAACTTTGTATATTTTTATATTTTACGATAAAATAAGAACGAAATTCCATCTGAATTGAAAACAACTAAGGGTCGTCAATGTGGTTCTTCTATATTTTGCATTCATTCATGTCATCTACTATATGACAACAAACCCACACTTCTTTTATATGGGGCAAAACCTTCTGAATTGAATTTTAAAATGCAACGAAAGGAGGTGGCGATTCAGTAAAACAAATCTATGGGTAATGGGTCAAAGTTCTAGTGCCTTTTGTATAAATTACCAAAAACTTTGCATCAAACTGGGTTCTTTTATTAGTTTTAAGCATTATGTATAGTATATCATTAAATCAAAAAATTGGACTGAAGTCAGATTTAATGTTGTGATTACAAAGACGGCTATTTTGAAACTTGGTCCAAATATATTAAGATGTTATATTTTATTTTTTTATAATGTTAAACCCCAAAGAATTGAAATATAATTGTATCCTATAATAAATAAACTAAGCAACATAAAAAAAATGTATAAGCTGGGAATTTTGTACTTGGGGATCAAACAGCGATAATGTCAAATCGGCCGTAGTCGTTTCGGCGAAGAATAAGCTTAGTGTACGTAAAATAAGAACAACCATCTAGTATTAAAGCGAGTAACATTTTAAAGACGTACCAGACCGAATCTTGCATACCCTGTACCCACCTTTTACCCCGCCACAACCTGCAACTGAAATATGCTTTGTTCTACCAATTATTCCTATGACACTTATATGATCAATTTGAGTGATTTTCAGGCACTACGTATACAAAATTCGACAAATCTTGTCAGTCTCTGCACCGATCAATCCTTTGAAAACTATATGATTTGTACCGATTTCGATGAAACTTGACAATATCATGAGCAAGCATGAAAAAGGCATAGCTCCGGATGATTTGTTTAAGATATCTTCAATGTAGGAACCTATTTTTTTCTACCGATATTCCAAATCACAGCAAGTGGGCGTGATGCCGGTTTCTGCTTTATGTCTGGCGCCTAAATCTTGCCACCTGCTTCTTTAGCTGGCAGGCCAAGTCAGCAATTGTCACGCCCCTATGCCGACAACAGTCATATTTCCTAAACAGACGCGTTGCTGGTGTGTTGGCGGGCCATTTGTCATATTTACACGAGTTGTATTTTTATTATTTGATTTAAATGTTAAGTACCGAAAAAGTATGACTTTAATTCGAAGAGTAAAATAGCAATTAAATTTAATTGTAATTGTAAGCCTAGGAGTGGCTTTAAAATCTTTGACCTATTTGGTGTAATGCCAAACAATACGATTCAATATTCAATGAATTCTCAGAACAATGGTAGCTCCTAGTATATATGTATGTACATATATAGAAAGTAATTGAACCTGTGCCAAAAGTAAAACCAAATGAAAAACGATGATTACACTTTCCCACATAGCGGAGAAGATTTGCTGCAGCGAGGCGGCAAAGTTCGTTGTTACTCAGTCGATTGGTGGTAAGCCTTAAGCTGCGGTCAACAAATAAATTACACATAACTATGTATACTTATATTAAATTCTGCAAGTAATCCATTATAAATAATGAAAACGTTCTTTATGTATTGCACCGAAGCTAAATTTAAATAAAGGCTATAGGTATTTAAAATAATTTATGTTAAAATTATCGACGGCTCCAGAAACAAAACAATTTAAAAATGATCCATGATGTTCTGTAGTGTGTTAAGTTTAACCGCTTGCTCAGCGGCCACCAAGGACTGTTCAACTATCTGAGACTGGACGCTCAGTTTTCCGGCTCTAGCTCGTCGACTTTGGGGGTGGGAGTCCATCCAGCTCAGAAATAAATATGTCGGGTGCTACTCTGACTAATACATTACAATATTAGAAAATAAAGGGGCGTGCTAGTTGCTAGCTAATAGAAAACTAGGGACAGGTCGAGAAATAAAGTAGATATAGAATAATATATAATGGCATCAAATGGCATAGAATACAGACAGCTGTGATTTTAATGCTCTAGCTGCATTAGATTATTGCATATGCGAGCAGAAAAGAAGTATAAAAAATGAAAAAAAAACTTAAGAGAAATTTTTTTAATTGTAAGAGATTACAAAACGATTAGAATAACTGGACATTATCCGCGCAAGAGCAGTAATCTATTCTGCTTTCTCTTTAGCTCTTCTGATACCAAGGCAAACAAGCAGAGAGTAAATTTATGCCGTTTTAAATATTTGTTTCTGGTTTTCAGCTGCTACGCGAAGAAGCTTGGGCATTATCGAAAAACGTTTGGATAAAAGCAATTTCAAAAACTTACCCTACTCTTAGCCGGCGATGAATAATTTAGCACAATAAAAAAAATAAGCACAATTCACTTCTGCCTTCGCATGACAGAGTTATTTGATGGAAAGAGATGAAAAAACAATAATGAAAAAAATGAATTTTTGATTAAATACCTAGATCATTCCTCTATGTATATGTATATAAACACACATAATAAAATGTTCCTCTTGCTAAATCGTTTTTCAACAAAACTAAACGCTGAAACCTAAGCACTATTTATTTTCCGTTTAATCGCGGACCGACATAAATGCGGCGATTTGCCGGCGCTATCGCTGCATTTGCACTAATTCGACAATGGCGCCGGTGCCGCTAAATTGTTGCGCTCTCTTTTTTCCTCCTTTTCTTTTCAAATGGGGTTCAAAGTCCGCTGCTCATGCGCGGGAAGATTCAAACGCAAGGAATGGAGCCACTGCCAGTCGCTTTCTCAGAGTTCGCTTAAGTTGCATTTATTTAATCGCAAGAAAATACATACATATGTATATGCGGCAGGCCACAAATAAAATGCATTCGGTTTCTTTTCTTATATACTTATATGGATGGACTGTATTGCACTAAAGCTAAATTAAAAGCTTACCCCTTATACTTGGTGCAGATAAGAAAAATAATATTACATTTTTAACCATGTATGTTTGAACATGTAATTTTGAAATGAAACAACTTTAAGAACGCAAATAGAAACTGCACTTTCAAGGCTTCAACTCCATCCAACTATGATGGGGAATTTAGAAATTCCAGAGAGAGACTTTCACCCTTTGGAACACATCTAATTTGCATCGCAACCCACAGAAATTACGCTAGCGTCACCTAGGTGGCGGTATTTAAGCCCAGTGCTTCTCAAACTATAACTTAAAGAGAAATATTGCTACGAGCGCCACTACAGTTCTTGACCCATTCCCACCAAAAGAGAAAAACAAAATTTGTTTAATATTTTAAAAATTAACTGTAAAAACATTACATTGATTGAATTAATAAATTATTTTTTAATTAGAAATATTCAATGCATACAGTAGAGACATACGTTTATATACAGTTTTAAAAGCAGAATTCACATCATTATCGTGTCCGTGCGTGTATGTGTGCAGTACAGAAGTAAGTCAAAGCAGCAACTACAACAACAGCTCCTGGCACAGATTACATACAGGGTGCGCCATCTTTTATGTCGGTATGTAGATATTGAATAACTTTGTCATTAGTGAACCGATTGACTTGAGTAGACCAGTGTTGAAAACCTAAGTTCGAGAAATTGTACATGTATATGGCTATAACTTCCATGAAAATCATAATGGAACTTAAAATACAGACATATAATCATTAACTGGAGGTTTTTGCCACATTTGAGTAAAACATTCAAAGAATTACAAGAGTTATGGAACAGACTCCAGAGACACACAGAGACGCATAAACTGAAGTAGGCTCGTGAGTTCCGCAAATTTCATTTTCAAATTACAAACAATACATTTTCAGAAACTTTAATATACAAGTATATCTGTGCTCCACAGGCAACTGCCCATTACGCTGGAAGATGGGGAGCTGTTTGGTAAAGCCCTATCCTTCTTCACTCTTCAATGCTTCAAGTGAAGTGAAAATAGTGATGTTCAGGAACATTTGGAGGAGTTTTTAAACCATAAAATATAATAGTTAGAGAACCCCATCGTAATCATTTAACTAAAAAAGCTTTGTTGTACCAATTATTCATCCAAATATTACAAGTATAGAGAATTAAAACAAGTCTTGTATACATCACCGACTTCGATGAAACTGGGCAAAGTCTTGAGGCACTATGGAAAATGCATAACTACCGGATTTGTTTCAATGTACGCCCCTATTTTTTTTACCATCTTACACTATCTGCTTGTAATGGGCTGTAACACAAATGACTGTCGGTTTCTCGGCAGGGGTGATCTGCTTTATGTCTGGCGCCTAAAATATTGCCACCTGCTTCTTTGACTGACAGGCCAAGTCACCAATAGTCACGCCCTATTGCCGACAGCAACCATTTATCTTAAACAGTCGCGTAGCTGATGTGTTGGCGGCCCATTTGTCATATTTACATGAGGGTTGTGTTATTATTATTCATTTTAAATGTTAAATCAATAGTGTACCGATATAGTACGGCTTTAATTCACAGAGAAAATGACAGTTTAATTAAATAATTGTAAACCTTATACACATACACGTGGCTTTAAAATCCGTGCCCTATTTGGGGTAATGCCAAGCAATATGATTCAATATTGAATGAATTCTCAGAACAATGGTAGCCTCTTGGTTTATATATATAGTAAGTAATTGAAACTGTGCCAAAAGTAAAACCAAATGAAAAACGATGATTACACTTTCCCACATAGCGGAAAAGTTCGTTGTTACTCAGTCGGTTGGTGGTAAGCCTTAACTGCCGTCAACAAATAAATTACGTATACGTATTTTAATTCTACAAGTACTTGTAATCCTTCTTCAAGTATTGCACGAAAGCTAAATTAAAATAAAGGCTATGATGAAAATTATCTATAAACTACAAATGTTCTTGATTAAAAAAAAGGAGGCTATTAGTGTAATATGCCTTTCCCTACAGCTCAAAACAATAAGCATACAGACATATATTGGAGTTTTTAGCATTCGACAAAATTTGAAATGAGTGTCTTTAGAAAATTACGTGAACCAACGTGCAGGCAATTTTTTTTCAAATTGTTACGTTTCTACAGCAACAATGTCGGAGACAGTAAACCACCAATTCAAAGCGGAGAAGAGCCATCGAAAAAATGTGATGGCGACTCAAAAAAAGCGGCTGATGCCAAGGGCAGTGACAAGTCAAAGGGTTGTACACAGCTTAAGGCCGCAAGCATTTGTAGCAGGGATGCAAAAGCGGTGGGAGGTTGTGCACCAAATGACCCAAGAGCATCTGCGAATAAAAAAGAGTCCGAGCAAGCGAAGGCAAAAGTCAAAGCCACATTGATCGATGGCGTTGGTGTGGGTCCCGAACTGACCAAAGCTGTACAGACAGTTTTCTGTGCCGCAGAAGTTCCAATAGAATGGGAACAGTTTCATGTCGAAGCAGATTGTCAAAAGTTAGAGCCCGAACTTGTTACTTCAGTACTAAAGAACAAGTTTGGCCTCAAGGGCCCAGCTGCAAACAGCAAATGGCTTATTGAGCTACGTAAGCAGCTAGATTTGTATGCCTTTGTGGCCGTTTGTCGCAGGATTGAGGGCTGCCAAACACCTTATGGGAATCTCGATTGTGTTATTATCCGCGATCAGACAGAGGGCGAATATTCGGGCATTGAGCATCGCGTGGTGCCGGGTGTAATGCAAACCATCAAGATAACCACCACCAAGGGGGCCAATCGCTTGGCGCGTTATGTTTTCAAATATGCGACCGAAAATTGCCGTAAAAAGATCACCGTAGCCCACAAGGCAAATATTATGTGGCTGACGGACGGCAGCTTTCTGAAGGCCATGCGCAAGGAGGCTTCCAAGCATTTGGAGAAGCTTCAGTTCAAGGAGCGCTATCTGGATACGGTCTGTTTAAAACTGATTATGAATACGGAAGCGAGCGATGTGTTAGTCTCTTCCAGCATGTACGGCGATGTTCTCACATTGATTTGCGCAAACATAATGGGTGGAATCGCGTTATGTCCGTGCTTCAGTGTCAGTCCAAAGCTGAAGCTTTACGATTGCATGAACTTCGAAGGCTGGGATATAGCTGGCAAGGATATTGCAAATCCCACGGGCATGTTGCTCTCCTCTGTTATCATGTTACGTGATATGAAGTTGGAGGAATATGCCAACAAAATCGAGTGCGCCGTACTAACTGTCTTTAAGGAAAGCAACTGCCGCACAAAAGATTTGGGCGGCACGGCTACTTGTTCAGAGTTCACGCAGGCGATTTGCGATTGCCTTGAAATGAAATCAAAAGAATCAGACTAGCAGTATCACAAGCATAAATGTGATATTTAATATATTTTTGCAAACATTGCATTCGTTAATTTGAATAAAAATGTTCATTCTTCACAACTGACCTAACTTGAAACTTACGCACAATCCGCATGTAATTGAATGATTTAAGTTCAAAATTCCAAGAATTATGGGAGTGATGGAAAATCAGTAATATCGGGGGTTGCATCAGACAAAAAAATCAAACTTGATCTGTCTGCATACCAAGTTTGGCTCTTTCGTTCATACAGACGAACATAACTACAGTATAATTTGCTTAGCTGCTTTCAATACTTTGCGCAGGCTTTTGAGACAGCTATTTTATTTTTTAAGTAAAATTTGTATCTCTTGCGGTTTGTAGACAATATACTTGTATGTATGAAGTTGCATTATGTTGTCGGTCATTATGTATACACATTTTTTAACATGCATAAAATTGCATAGAAATAAGTACATAGTCTGTAATTTGTCGCCCAAATATGCTATCTATTTATACTCTAATTTAAATGAGTGATTAATGCCTTAGTCTAGCTGTTGCATTAGGATTTATAGTATTTGTATTTGGTGGAAAATTTAATATTTTCACAGCCTTTTCCGATTTTGCTTCTTCATCGTCAAGATAAGGGATTATTTCTTCCTACAGTTTACTCGTTGTTCGATTGTGTGCGTCTTTTCGTTGGCGCGACTGCAGATTGTTGGTTTTCGGTTTGCTTTTCAATAATATACATAGTTAATTGTTGATCTGGTACAATTGTACATCTGCAATAATTTTTTATACCAATTACGTGCTTTGTTTTACCCGTTTTTATAATTTAACAATTACTTATGTATGTATACACTGAAAGATAAAAGCCACGATGAAATCAACAAAATGGTTTTAAAAGAATATGTACACATTGCCATTCTAAGTGAATATAAAGGGACCAGTGCTGTCATTTTAGCTTTTTTCCCCGCTAGATCTGGCTTTTTTTTTGAATGCCAGGCGGGAAAAATTCGAAAATGGCGGGTTCCCGGAATTCTAGCTTGAAAAAATTTTTTTATCTTTTTTTAGCTTTATTTATATTTCACCATAAATTTGTTTCCTTATCTTTGTCAACACTTAAAATCATGAATATAAGCAGTGATAAACGACTTTCTATAATAATATCTATCAAAATCACCTCCAGGCTCGAGCATAAGCCGTTTTTTTCTTCTTCGCTGAGTGTATATAGTAAACAAAGTGTTTGCGAAGTGGACCGGGTCTTCAGCCACGTGAACTTAGTTAAATCCAAATTAAGAAACGCGTAGAATTTAAATACGCTTAACTCCATTTTAAGCGTAAGGTAAGTTTTTTGTAAGCAAAATAAACCATATTCATAATTAAATTAGCTAATTTTCAATTTAAGATACGGACTTAATCGTAACACCAAAATTATCCTGACGAAGAGGCAGTGAGTTTAGATAAAGATGAAGAACTGTAGAATTTTTAGCTGATTTTTCTACTATTATTTTTACAAGAATCTCATATTATTATTACTTGTATAAATTATGAATTAAGAATATAGAATTAATATGAAAATATTAAAACAGATATTTCCTTAAATTTAACCAAGAAAATAGGCCGGCTTGTTTTTTGCATTGGATTTAGCTTTTTTAACTTTATTTTTTTGGCAATCTAGCTGTTTTTGATCAACAAATTATGACAGCACTGAAGGGGCTACTTAATTTGAAAAAGTGTTTCATAGATGGCGCAGCTAAATCTTTTTTATATTCATAGGAAAAAAATGATGGCCGATATGCAGCGCTGAAGTCCATAGGAACTATCGATGCAGCTAATTATGTAAGATATGTGTTCATGGCTCTACCTTACCGCTCCACCCATTCTTATATCAATGTCAGTAGCAAGGCCTAAAGAAATACAGATTTAAAAAAGTTATTCGGTAACAATTTCCCTTAGTTGTAAATTGCTTTTTCTTAACGCGAATGTACAAGTAGTTATATCTTATTAGAAAATATTGCACATTTTATGTTGTTCACTTAGTGTACGTTATTTTTCTTTAATTTCCTTTTTAGAGCAAATCCACTTAAAATACTCGTACATATCTTAAGTAAAGTAACAAATTCCATATAACAGTACAACCACTCTAAGTGTTTGTAGCCTGCGCCAATTTCCATCAAGTGTGTTAAAAAAAGAAAACGAAAACAAAACTGACAGGTAAATAACCCTGGACATACCATAAGTCAACTTGATAATGGGCGTGAGTTGTGGGCTGTGGGCAGAGCTTCGAGCAACGTCAAAATTTAATTATAACTACATATTAGTTGGCTGCATAAACAACGACTAAAAAAATCTTTGCAATTTCCCAACCAGTCAAATGGCATGTTTCTTCCCGGGCACCTCCCTCTCTACGCCATTCGAGCATTTCTGAAAAACTCGGCAATTTTACGACCTGCAGGACAAACTCTCTTCCTCCCCTGCAAAAACTGACGTCTATTACTTGTTTTCGTTGTGAAGGAAGAGCCAGTTCCTTCAGCATTTCTTGCTGCTTCTTGTCTAGCCATGGCCATAAATTATTAAATTTTAACAAGTTTTTATGCAGCAGCAACTTTCCGTCTGCAACGAGTATCTTTTGGCGTAAATCGACAAACTTGGCTTACTTTGTCAGCGGCCAGTACGTGACTCCTGCGGCTTGTTTGTGCCACTCCTCGTGGCCGACACTCTGTCTGCCTTTTCCTCTTCTATGTCTAATTGCATTGCACGGATCCTGGGCCGGTTTGATGCTCCAATAAGGGTTCTTTGATAAAAGCAACTTGGCCAGCCATTCCTCATTATACTTGTAATATGACAATACCCAATACATGCTCACCAAAGTATACGAAAGTTTCAGCAGCCAAGCAGTTAAAACTCAAAACTAAATAATACCAAACACCTAACTTTCGCACTCATTTGCCCTTTTAAGCCAATTTGTGTCCCAAAAATAACTTCGTTCAACAGTTTTATAAACAATAACTAAAAACTAAACTCCTAGTCAGCTTAAAACAACACCCTTTTTACGGCGTTTGAAACGAATAACTTTTCATGACAAAAAAAAAAACGAAATAATAAAGAGTAAGCAAATTTCATTTGCAACTTTCAACTTCTGGTCAGCAAACAGCAATAGCTACCTGTGGAGCTTGTTCATGCGCTCGAACTGATGACGTACACTAAGAAAAATAAATGTATATTATAAGAAAATATGTTCTCCTAAATAATAAATAAAAGCTGCAATACCAAATTTTTATGCGACGATTTTTAAAATTTACTGAAGATTTTTGAAGTGCATAAGCCATAATATTCTGTGTAATGTGTCCAGTTCATGTTCAGTTCAAAAACTAACGGTACTGGAATTGTAATAAGGACTCGTAAGGATATGAGTTTAATGTTTATCTCAACATTGGTTGAAAATATTAATTAATTATATATTAAAATAATTAAGTAAGCTTTGTAAAAATAAATTCAATTAGTAACTGATGCCCCCAAGAGAGTTAATGCGCATGTATAACCATTTCTGCTTCTCCCAATAAATATTGACTTAATATTCTGAGTGTATTCAAAACAAATTATTCATTGGCAGTATTTTGCTTACAATATTATCGAAGCTATAGTATTCGTACATGTAATGACACATGTAATTATAACAAGTTGGTACAAATTAGCATTTGTATGTAGATAAATAATGCAGAAAGAAAACATTTTCTTTCCTCCCATTTATTTTCATTCGAGTTCATGGCATCCACATTCACTTCCTTTACGCCAACAAGTCTCTTGCATTTTCATGCAAATACTTCACACCATCTTATTGCATGCACAATAGCAGTCATGACATCCGCCGACCACTTTGCCAGCACAATCCAGCACCCCGTAGACATTCCGATTCACTTTTTGCCATCGTACTTTGCATAATGCCCGTGTAGTGATAATAAAAAAGGCGCTTGGGAACTTTTGTTTAAGGCCATCGCATGCAGCAGGCTACACTTTGTACTGAAGAGCCTTACGCTCGTCTCCCAAGTCGCCTGCCAATTTGTACGCCTCAGTGCGCGCGCACATTTCTGGGCACTTAAGTTTCTTTATGACTGGCTGACTTTGCTTAGCGTCCATTTCCATGGGTTGTCTTGAGTGCGCCGGGCCCTAATTTCTACTTTAATGAACTCGTCGCACTTGCTTGCCATTTTTTTGCCATTGAACATTTTATAAATCGGGACTGTTTTGCATTTCTCATTATGAGTTGGCGTGGACTTTTGCTGCTCCTTTTTGCGTCAACACCGTTGATGAGTGCAATTAACAATTTGCATAGTAAGAACTATAGAAATTCTCTTCTTCTAGTTGTTGCTTGCCCAGATTAAAGTTGCAAATGCCAAGCGAAACAATTTCCATTCATAAGTTATAAGTGGTTGGGTATCTTTGCTTAGTTAGAGCTGTTAGGGACTAACTATTAATTAAATTTTGGCTTACGCTACTTTCTTTTTCTAGATTACAATTCCCCCATACTCTTACATGCATAACAACATGCAAATAATTTGCACACAAGTGCGTATTGGCATTTTTCAAGTGTACTTTGAAAAACAAATCCCAGCAATGTTTCGTATTTTAGCAATGAATCATAATAAACTTTGATTGAACAATATATTCATGAACTATGTATGAAACAAGTCAATATTTGTGTAGGTATGATATGATTTAAAATGTTACAAATAAAACTAAATTTATATAAAATAAGTCAAATTACTATAAAGTGCTTAAATTTTGAGAAACCGGCGTGAAAATTCTTTATCCATTTCACCTATTATATGTCAGTTTTTCCATTTTCTCATTTCGGTCCTTTTAAATTCCGAATTACTAAAGTAGATATAAATTATTATATTTGTGTTATTTAATATTTATTTCATTATTCATTATTATTATTCATCTTTAATACCTTAATTGTATTTCAATTATTAGTGACAGTAAGTTCACAAACTAATCACGGACAGGAGAATTCAAATTTTAGCAGCCCCAAAAGTATGCAACCCTTCAATTTTAAATTTCTTTCATTTCCACTGTACCAGTAATTGTATAAACACTGATTTATTCAAATTTTAGCAG